GGCAGTTTACTTGTTGGGAATTGATGCTTCAAGACACTTTCTAGATAATTTGTTGGGCTAGCTCCTTAAGTCTATAAAACATATAAGAAATTTTCTGTGATTTGGCATGGAATCTTTGATTACAATGCATATTTGGAATACTTAAAGAAACTCAGTGACCCAGACTTTATTTTCATAAGTTAAATGATGGAACCAGTATGCAGAATTCACTGCCTTTGTTATTGGTTGAGATGACCCTGTAATACTTAGGAGTTAGATATCAAGTAGTTTGTGGACTCCTTGAATCTAGGAACCAGATCTTAGGTTTTATTTGAATTCCCCTTCAATGCTAAGCCCCGCATGTGATATTCATTAATATCATATGAATAATGTCATACGCTGGTGTGGATCCCGGTGGGTGAGGAGTTACTACTCATTGCATAATAAAATACTGAGTTGTGTTTTTGTTTTTTTTTTTAAAATAAACGATTTAACTGGTAAAATTATTGGACATATTTTTTGCAATAGAAATGACATTTTGAGTTTCTGTAACAAACTGACCTATGCTAACAAAAGTCTTCAGGTGACCTTTCCAATCTCCAATTTGTATTTGAATCTGCATTTTACCTTTTTTCTCTGTCTCTGGTTGTAATCCCTTTCTGTTTATTTAGTCTTTCAGTTATGTTCTGATCCTCCGTTCCCCACTTATTGTAGAGGGTTGGTGGGTTTGTAGCTGCTGCTGCTGCTGCTGCTGCTGCTGCTGCTTCTTTTAATCTGTACTATATTATTATATCTGTTTAAAAATAAAAAAGAAATTGGCGTAGGGTCCTGACATGCGTTTTACCAAGAGTAGACATCCATTCTAGAGGAACAGTCTGCCTCACTAACAGGACAGTTACTCAGACATTTAGGGCCTCTTTTTGCTATGTGTCGTCAATGTTGAAATGATTGTGATGTTCCATTATGGGACAGAGGAAGATGAGAAGGCTCAAGGTGACTCACAGGTCTCACCAGAAATGGTGGGAGTGGCTGAAATGGCCTGAGTATGAAGCGATATCCAGACCAATTCTAGAGCTGACTGTCTGAAAGTCTGAAGTAGCTACTTGTGTGTCTGTAATGCAGCCGGTCTTCTAAAATCATGTCTATTGCATGTGGTGTAACCACAGATCTATCCATTGGCTCACACATTTTAATTTCATAGAGAACATTTGATTTTGAAAATGTGGAATGGTGGCCTGAGGCAGTTACCAAAATAGCATAAATTTCCTTTAGGCAACTCTCTTATGTTCTAAGGGAAGAATGTAAGACCTTTTTTCTGATTTCTGTATAGGAATTCCCAAATAGTTGCCAGAGCTATTAAGTATCATCACTTTAAATACTTACATCAAAATAAGCATAAAAGGATGAAAAGAAAGTAAGCAGCGTGGCAGTTATTTTTCAACATGTATTTTAAGCACATCCTAATGCATCTTTGATTATTTCTTAAATTGAAATATATTCTATTAATTAAAAACAACTTTTGTCTGAATGGACTAAGAAATACCAAGATGTTTCCATTTTTGCTCGAATTGATAGAATTTTCTTCATACTACTTGGAAACTATTTTTGAAGAGCCTTTGTGTTGTCATGAATTTTATTGATTAGTGGAATGTTCCTTTGTTTCTTTTTTCCCCTAGACATTAGCTATGGTAGTAAAGATAGAAAAGGAGAAAAGTAGGACATGCTTGTGGCATTTTGGCACTGTAGGGAGAATCTACATCAACCATAGTTACAAATGGTAAGAATTTAATTTTGTCAAGAATTAGGAAGAATAGAAAGGTAGGCCTTATGTACCTGCCTTGTGGTTTCCCCTTAAGTCCACTACCTAATGCCCACAAACTAGTATTTTTTTCGCCTCTACATGCTGTCACTGATCTTGGATTACCAATGACCCCTTTCTCCATTACTGCATTTGCCATTGTTGCTGGGGGGAAAAAAAATCTGTTATAAAGTTACCTGTACTGAGCCTCCGTCAGGGACATGCTGCTTCGACAGTTTCCCTCGTTAGCAGTCATTCTAAACCTTTTCCACACCCTTCCTTCTTCCAGAGTCATTTTATTCCTCTGTAGAGATTATTTTGCTTTCTGCTTTCCTAAGATAATTAGTGTGGCTTCATTCCATTATTTTCTTCTCTCTTCCCTTTACAACATTACTATCTCAGGATTTTTTTGAGCTATTGTTTCTTCTCTCATTCACTCTTTGTTTTTTCAGACATTGCTTCCCTCTGGTTTCCAAAGCCAGCCCTTTCCCTTGAGCCTGTACCTCCTCCTGACCTCATCACCTCTCTCCTGTTATGAACTTAGCTTCTTTTTCTTACGTACATGCCTGCGTTTCCTCAACCTTCCAAACAAAACCCGGATAAAATTCTTCAAACTCTTTTTCCTTTTCTGTCCCCCTCAGAATCTAGGGAAATTCCATATATGATCAGTTTTCTTCTAAGGAAATAAAGAAGGCTGATGTGAGCACCCTAGGTTTTTGGTCACCTTTCCTTCCACATACGTTTTCTCATCATTGTGGCATGACTGCCTTCTCTACTGCTTATAAAACTGTATTCTGAAGAACCTTAAAGGATGTTTAGTAGCCAACATAATAAAATAGTGTCCTCATCCTAAACCTTTGTTCATTCCTTCCTTCCTAAAACTGATCATTTCCCTTTAAAAAAAAAAAAAAACACATTTTCTTTTTAAAAAAAATTTAATTTCATTTTATTTTAAATTCCAGGCTATAAATTTTTTTTTTTTTTTTTTTTGAGAGAGTTTCCCTCTTGTTGCCCAGGCTGGAGTGCAATGGCATGGTCTCAGCTCACCACAGCCTCTTGCCTCCTGAGTTCAAGTGATTCTCCTGCTTCAGCCTCCCTAGTAGCTGGGATTACAGGCACCTGCCACCACGGCTAATTTTTGTATTTTTAGTAGAGATGGGGTTTCACCATGTTGGTCAGGCTGGTCTCGAACTCCTGGCCTCAGGTAATCTACCTGCCTCGGCCTCCCAAAAAAAAAAAAAAAAAAAAAAAAAAAAAAAATTTCTTGACTCTCTTTTTGTTTCATTATTACTTAGGGACTCCTTTATTAACTGTTTTTGGTGGTATGCTTTTTTCAGTCTATATGCTTTTCTTCAGAGACTGAATGTAATAATTGTTTAAATTATTAGCTTGGTCTTTGTTGTGTCAAAAATATTGAAAAATTATTGGCTATGTTTTTAAGTTCAGAAAAACATAAGATGATCCTTTGGAGTTTTGTATCGTGCATTGCACTTTGTTCATTTGTTCATTTGTATCACCATAAGGATTTATACCCAAACCAAAAAAGTTTAAAATAAAGTACAGCACTGTTTATTTTTGTATGTTTCACTAATCTAATGCTAATCTAATATTTTGGTTTATTCATGACAGAAGTTAACTGTAGTCTTTTCATCCATGTAGCTCTTTGTACCTAGATCATAACAGCAGGGGTAGGGAGAGGGCAGTCTGGGTTTCCTCACTCTGCTTTTCAATAGGAAAATCTGGATCTGCTGTGGGAGAACATGCAGGAGTCAGGAGGGGAACAGAGCGGTACTAGAAGTCTATTTTAATGCTTTATGCTAACGTGTTTTACACATTGGATTCTACTCATATATTTAAAAGTGGGTATTACAAGAATAGTTTTGATATTTTATTCTGAAATAAACTTTAGTGGAGTGATTGGAAATAGCACTCAGTATTACTGGGTGATACACTGTTTTTGACAGTGTTTAGGAAAGAATCAAGTTTTAGCTGTGAAAAATAATTGTTAAACACATGGGACTAAGTACTGGTTGTGGTTATCTATGTATTTCATGTAAGTGGACAAATATAACCATAGTCACTTGTTTCCACTTTTATGTTGTCAACGGTAAGAGATACTAATACATTTTTGAAAATATTGATATTTCAACCAAAATAAATTACCATTCTCAGATGGATGACCTCAATCGATAGATAGAAATTGCTATCAATAGTGAACGGGGAGGTTTGAACAATATAATAGTACAAACATCTCATACTGAAAGTAGAAGTTTTGCGAAACGTACAAAGTGGGTTTTACAATTTACAGCTGGAAAAATGTCAGATGGCTTTGGGGACTTTCTTGTGACCACACCTTAGACCTTAGTTCTTTAGGGACAGGCTATGCCACCCTTCCTGAGAAGACGAACACTAAACATTGCATCTCCAACCCTAATGTGCCTAAGAAATGTACTGGCAACTTGGATTGGAACTTTGCAAAGTTTGCCAATACATAGCATAAACCAGCCTTTATGTGACTTAGAGACAGAATTGGGAAGATCAGTTCATTGGGATGCTAAGTACGGCCTGGTTCGAATAAGAGTTAGAGGTATATTGTTAGAGACTCAAAAATAAATCCATTATCAGAACTTTCATTTGCCAAGAGAGGAAACAGAAAGTTATTGCAAAGTTTTTAGAGTGAAAAGTGTAATATGTATATACATAATACTGTCATTCTTACTTGCTCGTATAATTTTTTAAAAGACAATTCGAACTGATGGAAGAGCAGTGATTGTTCAAACAGTAAAGATGAACTCTATCAAAATATGCTGTCCTTTTTTGGATGGCAAATGTGATTGAGTAGTGAAGTAAGGTCCTTGGTCCTTCACTCTGGTACTTTTAATTGATCATCTGTGTCCCAAGCGGAAGTCTACCTCTGAGTAGAAAATGCCATTTCCAGAGGCAATTAAGGATTTCTTATGCCAACAATTCTTAAAGATCTAAGCCAAATTGTGAAGTTGATTAAATCATAGGCCAATTATAATGCATTTATCTGTTAAAGACAGTGAAAGGAAGGCTTTAAAGTGACAAATGAGAGAGATATTGGAATATTTTTTAATGATGAATTTAAGTAACTTAACATGATTTATAGTGGCATTGATTTTACCTATTTAATAGACACTTATTTTTGAATTCCATTAAATTTTCTGTTTATAACCCATTTTCATCTTGTAAATATCAACAGAAGGACCCAGTGGGGTAGCCAAGAGAAAAACTAAGGCTAAAGGTATTTTCATTTTTTCAAATTAGCCTTGAGTGAATCAAGTTTAATGTTTGAAAATGCATGACATTTTCTGGGAATGTTAATCTTGCTACTAATGCTAAACATTATTGCTTTTGGGTCTTGATTGGATGCACCTTAGCTTATAAGTAGTTTTATCAAGACTTCATCAAATAATTTTCTGCTTCAAGCCTATAATTTTAAGTCATTATCTTTTCATGTTATCAAAGCTTTATAACAGTCTTTAAATTAAGAATGTGTATATTATACAAAGATCACGTTATATTTGTTATGATGTATATATTAAATTTACATGTACACATCTTACCTTGTTCCCTAAAACCTTTCTTACTTTGATTTCTTTGAATTACTTTTGGGAAAAAAAGATGAAGTCTTCAGTAATTGATTTTATTTCTCCAAAAGCTCTAATGACACTCTGTCTTAGAGCACAGTAAAAGCTAGTGTGATTCAAATGTGTAGTTTTCAGTAAAATGAAAACTTACATGTATAATGTAGAACCCTGCATTACATTGACATAGAATTTGCTGTGTTGGATATTTTAATTCATTAAAAATTATTGACCGGGCACGGTAGCTCACGCCTGTAATCCCAGCATTTTGGGAAGCCGAGGTGGGTGGATCATGAGGTCAGGCATTTGAGACCAGCCTGACCAATATGGTGAAACCCTGTCTCAACTGAAAATACAAATAATAGCTGGGTGGCGGGCACCTGTAATCCCAGCTGCTCAGGAGGCTGAGGCAGGAGAATCGCTTAAACCTGGGAGGTGGAGGTTGCAGTGAGCTGAGATTGTGCCATTGCACTCCAGCCTGGGCAACAGAGTGAGACTCTGTCTCAAAATAATAATAATAATAAATCAGTTATTATACCTGTCAGCCATTTGTAGACTAACAGCTCAATATTACAGCCTGACTTTATATGCCAGCAGTTACTCTTGTTCATATGTTAGTAGTCATATTCTTTGTGGGTAAAGGCATGGGGGATGTGCATGTTTTTCTTTATAAGCCTGTGATAGTCTTGTGATCATTTCAAGGGCTTGGCGTATTGTTCGTAGTTTGTTTTTTGCTGAAATATGAACAGATGAGATATAGTATGTGATTCACAGGGTTTTGTGATTTATATTTTAAGGTCAGGAACTTTTAATGGTTTAACCTATCTCTCCTGAATAATTTCTGGGGACAAAAACAATTTTTACCGTCTTATTTTTATAGAAATAGTGATGAAACAAAGGGACAATAAAATATTTTACTTCTTGATCTGGAGAAGCAAATTAAACATTAAAGACTGAATATTTTTAAAAGCAGTTTGCAGAATAAGACATGATAGCATTGCACATGCATTTTACTCTTTTGCAATGCCGGTATCTATGTTACTATTCAAACAGCACTGAAGTAGGATGAAGACTCAGCATGATCCTGAATGAATTCTGTTCTGTATTCTTAAAAGACTTTAATAAGGTTTTTTAGGAAGAACTGAAGAATCTCCTGGTTGATCACCAGGAAATTCAACTAATGGAGAAACCCTATGTGATGTTTTTGTTCGTTAATCAAGATTTTATTAGACAGCCTAGAAAGATATGGTACTTTTAGTGAGCAGTGCAAATCTAATGCTCATTTTGAATACCGTTTGTGCTATGTAAGTTTTACGTGATTCTGATGGGCAAAAACATCTTTCACATTTTATTATATTAAATAAATATTTCATCTTCTTTGTGCTTAAATGTGGCATTGTTTCTGCTTAAATGTGGCATTGTAAATACCTTACCTTATGATTTCCTCATGAGAGTACAAACAGATGAAATTCAGAGCTTTTGCTAACTGCTTTATTACCATGTAAAGCAAGTTGAAAGCAATACCTTCTATGAGATTTGGAATTAGCTGTGTACTTCATTTAATTGCTCTCGCAACCCTATGAACTAGAAGACATGTGTTAGCTTGAGTGGCTCTACATGAATTAACAGGAAAACGTACTTAAAGGAATACTGATTTCATGATGAACATAAGCAGAAAGGGAATTCTAATTTTTCCTTTTAAATACTACAGATATGTAGTGTTTTTTAAATTTTTAAAATTTAAGTTTCTAAAATTTTAAATCATTTTACAATTTTAAAATGATTTAAAAATTTCATACACATGACAATTTTTTGCCTAGTTAACTAAGAAAATGAAATTATATTTAATGTTATTTACATATATTAATCTTCAAAGAAGCACGTGTATTTTAAGGACATATGTTTTTGTTTGAGCTAAACATTTTAAATTATCTTTGTATATATTCTTACAAATTACGAAAACTTTGTTCTTATGTTGCCAGTGTTCCTTTAATTATGTTGTTATAGTTATGAAGTGTGAGTTAATAGTTTGTGTAAAGTACTGCTTTCATGGTGCAGTTTTATAATATTGCATGGTAATGTTTTAAGATAAGTCATACTATATTTCAAGATGGAAAATATGACAAGCTTCTAGCATTTTTTAATAGTTGATATTTTATAGAGGTTTGCATCTATTTTTAGCCACCATAAAGACTAGTGAATTAAAGTAACTTTCTGAATGTGCATTTCCTGTGTGTGGAGAAAAAGAGAATACCTTTTCACTAACTTCCTGTTCTGTGATTAAGAGATCTTGTCAATAAACATTTTTTCCTTTAATTGGAAAATCTGAAAGTTAAAGAACTCACTAAAGAAGAGCTCAAGAAGGAGAAAGAGAAACCTGAGTCAAGGAAGGAAAGTAAGAATGAAGAGAGAAAAAAGGGGAAGAAAGAAAAAGAGGATGACCGAAAGGATAAGAAAATTGCTGATGCAGACCTATCCAGGAAGGAGTCTCCTAAGGGTAAAAAGGACAGAGAAAAAGAGAAAGTGGACCTAGAAAAAAGTGCCAAAACCAAGGAAAATAGGAAAAAATCAACAAATATAAAGGATGTTTCTAGTAAAATGGCATCCAGAGACAAAGATGACAGAAAGGAAAGTAGAAGTTCCACCAGATATGCACACTTAACAAAGGGAAGTACTCAGAAAAGAAACTACTAAAGCTCTGGCATCATCATCTCAGAACATGGTCATGTTCCAGATTGCAATTTGTTACAAAATGGAAAATTGCAATTTGTTACAAAACGGAAAATGTAATATTGCTCTGATTGGTGAAAGTGTGTAAATTAGCCATTGAATGTATTATTGGTGCTCAGCAAGTAAATTATCTGAAATTTAAATATACCGTCTCATGCTTCTAAATGTAAAAACATTTTAAAAATATGTCATAGAATATGATGTAATAACTTCTATTTATTGATCATGTATTCCTACAAATGTATATGTGTCATGAATTTTTATAGATTAATGTATTAAATACTTTCATTGACGTTAAATAAGAATATTAAGATATTAAATGTTATTTCTATGCAGAAAAAAAAAGCCTTGTAACTTCTTCAAGTGTGCTAAATACTCAGGGAGATAGGATTTGCCCTTTGTTTTCTTCCCTCCTTCCGCTTCCTGCTTCCCTGTTTTTCATGGGCACCTCCCCAGGCTCATGTGTCACTGCCTTCCCTGAGTTCCCCCCTTCTAGCCCTCCTGCAGCCTTTCAGGGGCCGTTCTTCAGGCTTTTCATGGGTTCTCCTTCCCCTTTTCCCTCTTCTCTCCCCTCTTCTAGTCTCCCTCCCCAAGCCTTTTACTCTCTCCTTTCCTTCACTCCTCACCTCACCCCTGCCCCTCACTCCTGCATGCTTCTCACTCCTGACTTCCTTACAACAACTCCACCATTTTCCCCTCATCTAGTACATAGTGCTTACCGTGTGCCACATACACTGCTCCGAGAACTCTGGCCATAGCTACGAATAAAGAGGAGAATTGTATTTAGAAGAACAATTTCAGAACACTTTTATTTATGATACCTTTATAGTCTTGGAATAACTGTAGAAAGGTTTTAATTATTTCAGATTAGGATGTACTTTCATTTTATACCACACTGTTTTTCTATTATTTTGGTTGAGTGGCATACATTTTTCATATTTGATTGTGTCATTATTGTTTACCATTTCTAAGGAATTGCAAATGTAATCTCTAAATAGAGATCAGAATTTAGCACCTCAGAAAACATTTAATAAAAGTGAAGTTTTAGTCAGAAATACAATTCTACAAATGGTTTGTACTATTCGATGCCTCAAATATTAAATATCTAATTGTGACTACTGTGAAATGCAGTTGGTTGATAATGATAAAATCTTTGTGGTAGCATTTTTTATTCTGTTATTGTTAACCTTATTAACAACAGAATCAAAAATGCTACCACAAATATTTTATTTTCAAATAGGGTTATTAATAACAGAATAAAAAATGCTACCACCATAGTTTTTAAAACGTATTTCTTTACTTTTTTTTGAAGGTCTTAAAAATAGAGATTTTTGGCCTGGTTAAAGATATTTCAACTCAGAAATGAGTACATTTAAGTGTAAATATTTCTAAATGTATTGTACACCTTTTTCTTATGTTAACGCCTTTTACTATTTAAAGTCAAATACTTTATGACATTTAGTTGACAGAAATTTCAACTTAATAGAATTATGCAACAGAGATGAAATCCTAGAGAATAATATCTCTAATATAATCCTGTTATTTTATTGCTTAAAAACTAACACAACTTGGAGTTTTATGTTTTGATTAGTCAGGATTCATCTCAGCCCACTTCCCAGGTCTTCACTGTGCTGGTTTCTGCCTGACTTACTCTATTTGGAGATGCTACCACTTGGTAACCAAGATGGCCCTCAGCAGGCTCTAGACTAGTCTTTCTAATTTACCAACCCCAATGCAGATGGCTCTGGGAGAGAGAATTCCAGTTGGCCTGCTTAGGCCTGGTGAACATCTGGGACCATTTTTGTAGTTGAAGATGGCGATTCTTCCCAGGCGCACACCTGTGCACAAAGCTTTGGAGTGGGAGTTGAGTGGGTCCCACTCAAACTTCATCAAACATAGGGCTTCTGGGACAAGAAAGTGAGGCTTTGAGAACTGGACAGAACAAGAAGCAGAACATGTCCCCCAGGCATATGAAAGTTAAACGATTCTCAAACCATATCCCCATGTTAGATCTTTTCTCATGAGATAAATTGAATGCTTTTTTTAAAAACTTATGTACAAAATGTTAAGTGCTGTCTTCTCTAAAGATTTTCTGTTCTCCCTTGAAGAAGGGCAAACAATTATAAGTGAATTTGTTGAGAGCATTCTAGTAATTTTTACCTTAGTTTTTAAGCTCAATGTCTATGGGGCAGAAGATACATAAATACTAAATTCTAAACAAATGAGTGAAAATATTTTGGAATAACCTAATCATCATAAGCACGTAAGAATTGTCTATTGCTATTTAGTACAGTACTTTGAAATGTTTTGGCTATATCATTGATTTTTTCCTTTGACTGTTAGCTCAAGAATTGAAACCCCTCAGCTAAAACATTTAAAGATCCTTTAAAAGCACTTGTAGACTAGAACTTGATTTATTTTTTCCCTTCTCTCTTCTTTTCCCCTTTCCTTCTCTTTTCTTTCTTTTTGTACATGTTTCAACTAACTTTTATTGAAGTTGAAGTCACACTTTATCCAACTGCCTTAACACTTAAGCTTCAAGTAAAAACAAGCTTTCAGTCATGATTAGTGGGTTAAAGTCATGCATTGCACTCTCAGTTTTACACTTTTTATTCAGTAGGTTGTTTCTGTATTGTTTACTTCATATTGTTTTCTAAGTATAATTAAAACCAGAAAGGTTACCTTTTTAAATAAGCCAGCTACAACAGGGACAAGGAATTCACAATACTAAGTAGTTGGGGGTCAGAAGCTGTTTTTGGGAAGACCTGGAAGGGGATAATTACTAAAAATGTAAGTTTATTTTGCCTTATCCCTGACAACATTTGATTTAAATTATATTATGACATGATACTTACAAACCTTTTAAATGACATTATTGGCATAGTTTTCGTAAACTTTGTAAGAAAAAGACATTTCACATTTTAGTAGCACAATCATTATTAAGATAGTCAATTTTGTGAAAATAATTGAGTGCCAATGAATTTTTCCAAGGGTGATCTTGTATCTTCTATATATTGTAATATTTAGATACTTCCTTTTGAAGCACTTACATCATCATTGAATTTTTTGTCATTTGTTGTGTCACCTAGTTTCTGTTTCATTTTCTAATGGCTTCGTATGTATATGAATTTTAGTTATTCCTAACATCATTGGTGTCACCATTTTGAATTTTTTTAAAAAACAAGATTTTCAATTTTACTTTATAGGTAATTTGCATTGTGTATAGATGATTCTCTCAAAACTTCACAATGAGATACTGATGAAGAAATTGATATAAATCAGTCAGCATGAACACTCTAATTAATCCAGAGGACTACTTGAGTTAATTCTGTACGTAGTTGCTTTATTGAGAATATTTTATATTATGACCTGTTCAGCTATTCAAGTTTGTAACATCAGAGGTCCTCATAATAATACTTGGATAATAAAGATTCCCCATAGACACTTGCATTGAAAAACAAAAGGAGTAAACAAGTATCATTTTTAATTTGAAATGTTTTAAGTTAACTGTAATGTTATTGTCCATGAAATGGGTCTGGTGACTTAGGCTCTATCTCTTCACATTTATTTCTTTCTCGTGTGTCCTCAATTGTTCCTTCTTCTGTTAATGCCCACTGGTAATAATTCTCAAAATTGATTGCTCAGAATATTCCATTGTAAAATGCATCTTGGAAATGGTTGTTTTCCTCATTTGTAAACTGAAGACCATGGCTGTTCCTCAAGGTAGTTCTCAGAAGCAGTCAATGTTGCATATGTGTCAACAGCCAGCACATTGTTGGGCATTCTGTTTCCCTTTTTCATTGGTAGAATAATAATAGTAATAGTCAACCAAGATGTCTCACTCAGGGTTTAAAAACTTGGAAGCACTGAAACTGTGATTCCTGTTCCTACTTTTGTCAACATATTGCAAAACAAATATTTAAGTCCTTTATCCTTTATAATGAATGTGTCTTTGTGAAATGAGTATACTGGAACTTGATTTATTCTACTGAGATCATTGAGGGAGCGAATGCAAATAATTATAAATGTTACACATGGGTGAAGCTATAAGAATGCTTAGTTTTTAAAAGGATATTGTGACGACATGAAAACGCAAGATATAAAGGCTAGACAAAAAGTTACGAAATAAACTATAGCCTTAAGTATATGATACAATCAAGAAGCCTAATAACCAGCCTAATTGTGAAAAACTTATGTTTGTTTTGTATTCAGATCACATTTTTCCATAGACGTGATTTTATGGTCTTCAGAGATTATTTTTTACTGTGGTCCACAAAAATTGATTTAATTCTAATATCCAGTTCTGCAAGTCTCATTGTAACTATGTTTCTATGGAAAGTGCATCTATCATTCTGCCTTGGGATATTAGGAATATATTTAGTTTTACTTCTGAATGTTCTCCAGAATTTCTTGGGTTACATCCATGGTGTTAAATTCATTCAGATACCTTACATGGACAAAAATCATGGATTGACTGACATAATTGTAAAGCCCAGGAGTAGTTTTGGCTTTTTTCTTTTGTTATGCTGGATCTAGGTGCTCAAACCATGTTCTCAACCTCCACCTGTCTATGGACCCTCAAGAGTGTTGGCTTTCTTCTCAGGCAGTCTCGTGTGCTCATCTTCAACCGTACTCCTTATGGGGTAGGAGATAAGAAAGCTGTGATTGGTGACACCCTGGGATATGTGAGTGCCCACTTTTAAAGTGTTGGGTAAAGAAGAATTGGATTCCCCTAAGGAAGTTAGTGTGTTTTTGCCAGAAGGAGGAGGAATTGGTGCACTGAAAGTAGGCAGATGATGGAGTTTGTTTCTCCTTTTTCTACCCATCCCATTCCTACTTCTCCCCCTGCCCAAATACAGAGGTGAATGGGATGGGCCAAAATAGGTATTTCAGAATAAGAAACTATGGAGCTAAACGTTGGGTACTCATGGGCATAAAGGTGGAAACGAGACACTAGAACTTCTAGAGAGGGGGAGAGGGAGGGAGACAAGGGTTGAAAAACTAACAATTGGGTGCTATGCTCATTACCTGAGTGATGGAATAATTCACATTCTAAATTTCAAAATCACACAATATACCCATGCAACAAACTTGCATGTGCTCCTTGAATCTAAATAGAAATTGAAATTATATTTAAAAATAAAAATAAAAAAACTAGGGAGAAGAGAGATCTCATTCCAAACAATTATTGGTCAACAATAGTTTCAGACCATTGAAAGAATATAAGAGAATGTTGACCTGGTAATAAATATTGCCATTTAGATGTCAGGTAATGAAGTTTATTTTGCTGTTAAGCTCTCTCCATTTTGCCCCATTCTGTTTAGAAGGAAAGTTTTTGTGTTTAGGAAACTAAAGGATGGGTGATATGTAGCAGACCCATCAGGTTATTTTCATGAAAACCTAGTTTGGGCTAATCTGAAAGATTTCCTCAATAACAGTCTTTAGTCTCTTATCCTTTCTTCTCCTTTTGCCTAAGAATATAATTGTGTAAGCTAGATGTTTATTCCTTAGCTATCATTTTTACATAGGAATCAATTTCTGCAAGAGCTCTGTAAGCCCTACAAAGCAGAAAGTCATCCATTTCTTTCTTCTTTGTTCTCATGTAATGTCTCATTTGATTTCACTTTATGTATCTATTTTTTGCTCCATGTTAAGTCAGGTATGCATACATCATAGAAGTCTGCCTCTTGTTTCCATCTTCTTTGCCTTATGTATCACTTCTCTTGTATCCTACTAGAGGAAGATGATCTATGCTTAAAGCTCTTATTGTTTTTGATAAGTATATAACACCAACATGCTGTGTCTATAATTCCCATTTATTGACTCAATTAATACTTTTTAGTATCTACAGCATGTCGGGGAATGGGCAAGGCATGGGGGATACAAGAGATTGAGGTGGCTGCAATCCCTGCAGTGAAATGCTATGAAATAAGCAAAGGGCTGAGGGAGAAAGTAATGAGACTGGAGCAATTGTCAGTACAACCCACTAGTCCCTCCACCTAGAATGTGCTCCTGAACATGCTCCTGCTCTGTGTGGTGGGCTACCTTTGTCTCTCCCACAGGACCCAGCCCAGTCATCACCTCTGCACTGAGATGTCTCTGACCCTCCCAAGTGGCTGCACCCCGCATACTCCAGTTATCACCCTCATCACCTTGCCTCATTCCTGGACTTTGCTGCCAGACTACGATTTATCTCGAGCACCTTTCCTAATAACTGACACTAATAGGCATTCAGTGTTTGTTTATTGAATGGTGAATATACCAAACAAATTATCTGAAAAATTTCAGGTGTATATATACCATTGAAGAATATTCAAGAAGAAAAAATCGTGTGTGTGTGTGTTTAAAGAACCCAAAAGATTGTTCAGTAATTGCAGTGTTTTAACTACCTTGGAAGTTGCCTGTGACTGGCAGGGAGGGGATGTAAAGATTTTTTTTCAGAAGAAATAAATGGTAATTTTTTGGAAAAATACTTATTTAAATTATCTCACTTAATTCTTAAAGCCCTTCTTAGGGGTCCTGTTTTGTCCCCTTTTTTGCATTTGTGGAAACCAAAAAGTGTAGCTGTGGTTAACGCTGAGATAAAATTCAAATGGAATTCAAAGGCATCCTCTTGTCCCAGGTGCCTGAACTCTTACAAACCATGCTGAGTTGCATGTCCTTTAACTGTATTTTTCATGATGTTAAAGTGAGTCCACTCTCACCAGTCTTTGTTGAGTCCCTTCATTGGTGCTGAAACCAGGCTCTTGGGAACCTTACTGGCAGTGTTTAATTCTTTTGTAATTTATGTCTGTTTGAAGTCTGTCTGTCCAGCTTGGGTTACATAAAGATGCTTTGAATCTGGAATGGCTGTTACTGCATATCATGGGGCAGCTGTGAGTACCTGGTGGTCTCAGAATTTTGATAAGTTCTGAGACTGCTGTTGGTATACTGAGGAAGATCTGCATTCACTGATTATACAGGCCAGGAGCAACAGCGAGGATTAGCATAGTTTCCTAGTATGCATGCCTTTCTGGTGTATTGATTTCCCAGAATATTTCTCAAATTTCATGTACCTATGAGCCTTATTCTTGGGGTAAATTGATTTATACTGCTAGACTCCTCACAATTGACACAGTACCACTTCTGAGCACTTACCTTTCACAGATAACCCTAGCTGGAGTAACCTGAATTAGTAAGGACACGTTTTCTTTCATCTGTACACCTCTGAATTAGTAAACCAAAGATTAAAACACTAATTTTAAAAAACATTCTAGCTTTTTATGGGCTAGGTGTATGAAATTCTATGAAACAAAATAAGTTTATAATTGTTTGCCAGGTTTTTTTGAGGGAGTGGCTTGCTTATAACTCTTATGAGAAGTAAATCCTTTGTGTTCCCTCAAGTCACAGTCCTTGGATCCAGCATCCAGGGCCTTTCTGATATGCACACCTCTCTTGGTGCCTCAGCCACCTTTCTCCTTGGTGCCAAATGTGTTCCCAGTTGAGGAATTTCTTACAGTCACGTGCTTCATGCTAACATTTTGGTTAAGGATGGGCTACATGTATTATAGCGGTCCCATAAGATCATAGTGCCATGTTTATACTGTACCTTTTCTATGTTTAGATTCACAAGTACTTTGTGTTACAATTGTCTGTAGTATTCGGTACAGTATGTGCTGTACGGTTTTGTAGCCTGGGAACAATAGGATATTGCATACAGTCTAGGTGTGTGGCAGGCTATACCTTCTAAGTTTGCCTAGGCACACTGCGATGTTCCCACAATTGTAAAATTTCTAATGGCACATTTCAAGGTGCATTTCCACACATTCCTCAGAATATATCTCTATTGTTAAGCAACACCTGACTGAACTTGCAGTTCCCTACCTGAAACAGACGTGTAACTTACATAACCACATCCCTGATTTCCTTCAGGGTCTGTTCACTTGTTATCAGTGAGTCCTTCTGACCAAGTATTATGAATAGTCCCACCCCTACTTTTCCCTTATGTGCTTCTGTTCCATGTCTTCCCCGTACCATCTGTCCCCATCCAATATACTCTAAATAGTTCATGTTTCTTATTTTTTAAATTGCTCTCTCCCCTAGAAGGTAGGTGTGTTGTTTTCATTTACTGTAGAATAATGCCTTGAATTAATATATGCTAAATATTTGTTGAATGATTAAACACAACATACAATTTAGTAAGTTTACAACTACTACATATTTATGGAAAGAAATATATTGGTTCTTTCTCATTATGGGCAACAGTGAATAAAGTAAGCTAATCTTGGGCTTGGGTATTTGTGTTATTTATCATATTTGCTGTAAGTGGTTGATTCAAAGTGCTGATTTCATTTGCTTTTCATAGCTTCATCTAATTTTAATTGAAATTGGAGGGGCAATTATATAGTGATTAAATGCAAATGTTTTATAATTTCCAAATTTATCTGATGAACCGAAAGAACTAAAACCGAGTTATGTTTTAAGGGAATTAATGTGTTTTCCAAATCATGTTGTGGCCATTGCTGTGGACTGGCAGTAACTATTCACCATACGTAATGACTGGAAGGCAGCTGTGGACACCCTGTTCCTTTTGCCAGCGTAGGAATGGAAGTGGGTCCCAGTCCTGATGATTAACACTGAAAAGGAAGACTTCTGGCAGCTTCTGGAAAAGATTTCCTGAAACCTAAGAAAGAAGCAGAGCAAGAGATGCTCCTTTTGTTTCTGGATATCGCCTTGTCTGAAAAAGAAGCTTGCAGCTGGGGAGCTCTGATTGCCAGCCTGAGGGTGAAGCTTGACCTGCAATGCAGCCAGCTGCCTCTGCACTTCTTGTTTAGTTAGATGATAAATTTCCTTCCTGTTCAACCGTTGTAAGCTGGCATTTTGGTAACTGCAGCCCCAGGAACATCAAAACACATCTCATGTCATAACTTTGAACGTCATAATATCATAATTTTGAATATTTATTTCATTGCTACATCATTGCCACTTGTACCTCATAATAAATCCATTTGAACACCTTTCCTATGACTGAATTGAGCTTATATGCATTTACTTTTCTTAATTCATTTTTGCTTGCTTTTTCCCTCAAATTTTAGAACTAAAATGAGTTTGGATGGCAAAAAGTTTTTTTGGAAACACTGAAATAAAATCTTGTAGGGCAAATTCGTCCATATGGGTTGTTAAAGCACTTGTAGTCTAGAATATGTTTTTGTTAAGTTTTAAAAAGTTTATAGAGGTCTAGAGGAGGAAATGTATAATATGATCTCAGCTTCTTTGAAGTTTACAATATTGTTTATTTTTGTACTGATTTCATCTCTGGAAATAGCTATGACCAGGTATTAACTATTTTATAATATACCTTCCACTTTGGACAGGGCAAAAAAGTCAATATTTTTTGCTATGTGCTTTTGCTTTCTCCTGTGTTTCCTATGTTTTGCAATTTCAATTTTAGAGACAAATAAGTTCAAGTTGGCTAGAGAAAGCTGACTCTCAGAGGCATTGTATGTCGGAATGTTGGCATACTAGTAGTATTTGAACATGTAGCATTATAATTTTTTTTTCAAATGAAACTTCTAAACTCATTAAGAATGGGGTTTTCAGGCAGTTTAAATCTTTATCGTTTGGTGAGAAAACATTTCATTGCTTGTATAATACATGGAACACAGTTTGAGAGCCTGCTACAAGTGGGGTCAGTGAAGGATGACCCTGTAATTTTTCATTCAGACAGATAGTTTCGAGAGTGAAATAATTCCAGGACAGCAGACATAAACTGGGAGTGTCTCAGGCAAACTAGACTCATGGCACTGAAATGATGGATGCTGGAGTAGAAATATGGATCTCTGGTACATAGGAGTAGAGAAGTACTAATGTGAGTCGCCTTCCCTCTTCTACTCAGCTACTGGAATGCGCCTAAGAAGCCCTGGCCCTGCAGGGAATCTCCACAGCCATTTAGACTTAGCAGAGTAGTCACATCACTGGGTGTATTCAGCTCTTCAGCAAGTGTTCATTGAGCAATTGCTATGTGCCAAGTGTTAGCTGAAGTGCTGCGAGTGATAAATTACTTGATTCTTGAGATTCTTAAGCTTTTTCCCATTCATTCAGCAGAACTTGGCAATGAATCATTCCGTACCTGTTCCATTAACAGTTGAGGGAAGTAAAAATGATTATTTAAATGGGTAAAAGGGAGGGCAGCCCTAAATTTGAATTTGAAATATGATGTCTTTTACTAGGCCTTCATCTCTACCCCCTCCTCCCTGAACTTGAACTACAATTAGGACCTCTGTATAATCCCTTTGCAATCTTTCTTACAGTTAGAGATAACTTAGGTGTCGAACACAACTGACACAACTGTATGTGTTGGTGTCAGGTGTACTAGTGGTGAGTTTTGTGTGGAAATAGTGTTGCAAATGGTAACTGCAGGAAATGTAAGTGATGCGGCAGGGTCCTGTGTATCTGTCTCTGTTTCTTCTAAAATTTGGAAAGAGGAACGTGGGAGTATGTTTTTGTCGATAAAAGAAAAATGAAGAGACATAGAAAAAACAGTGAAAAAGGAAAAATAATAAAAAAGAAGAGTAATACATCGAAATGAGAATTTTCCAGACCACAGTAGTGTGCATACATGAGTTGCACAGAACTGCTTAAGATTAGAACACTGCCCTTCATGTCACCTTGACCTTCCTGCCGCAGGCTGTGCATGCACAGAGCATTCCCTTTAGTGACTATGCTTGCTAGGAGATTCTTAATGAGGTCAGGAGCAGTCCAGGATCAGCAAACGGAATCTTTGAACTCTTGAATTTAGCTCTTTTTCAAAGAGTTGGATTTGAGGATCTGTTTTAATGTTCCACATACAAAATACCAAATAACTTCAAATAACTAACTTAACATAATAGATTTTAGACTGGCTTTAACTTTAAAACCAGTTTTCATATACCCTGATATCTTATTTTTCTTAGGACTTGTAAAAGGAAGAAGAACTTTTAAATTTTCATATATTTTAGCTGTTATAGAATAATATGATTACTTGTAGGGGAATAGTTATGTATGATTTCTTTTTCTTTTTAACTGTTTTTCAAGTAGAATAAATAAAGATATAAGTGAGAACATTGAGTGTACCTGAATAACAGAAAGTTCAAGTGCGTCTTAGTTGCCTCATTGCTGAATTCAAACTTCAGGACTTAGGAATTAATCGCTTATGAGCACAAAAGGAGCTTGAACTCATATTGAACTTTTAACAGGTTTAGACATGACTATTTTAGAGATTCATGAACATTTAAACAATGATTTTGTTTTAATTTGAAGTAAAAAGCTAACTTAGACAAAGATATTAACACATGAGCCTTTAATATGAAGTTGAAGAGTAAACTATTTTCCTACCTCACTTTTTAAGCATGCAATTTTAGAAACTATTCATTACCTGCACTATTGATTAAATGTTTGAGAATATTTTCCTGGTTTAATATGACAGAAAACCCCACAAAAACTCAAGTTAACTTTGTGAATAAAAAAATGCAGGACTTAAAGAGAGATCTACTTCAGAGCCAGCAGTCCCGCCAGAAGAGGCTGAGCCACACACTGAGCCCGAGGAGCAGGCTCCTGTGGAGGCAGGTAAGCTTGTCCTCATCCTCGAGTCTCGCCCAGGTGTGCCTGAACCTGACAGGTATCCCCATTTGCAGAATCCTGTTTTACCTGGAATTTGTTTCACATTGTTTACAGAATAAATATCTACTTTTTTTCTCTTCTGAAATTATATAGTATTTTTCTAGTAGAAATTGGCACAGGATAATTTTAATTTTTAAGATCAGCTCCAAGGCAGACAGTTGTTCTTTGTCCAAAACCACACATTTAGGAACATCATGAACTGAATGTTGTTTCTTGATTCCAATTCCAGCACTACTGGACTATATTACCTTGAAAGTGAAAATATACACAATTCTACACTCGTGTTATCATTTGTCACGTGATTTAATAGATCTAGTGGTTTCTCAATCTTTTTTATATGAGGGTCTCTTGTCTATCTTAAAAGACTTCCCAAACCTCCCTGTGGCCATCTATGGAACCTGTTTTGTGTCTACATGAGTTCATAAATCAAGCATCTCTGTAGTTAACCCAAAGTCTATGACTATAGGTAAGAAAATCGTGAAATAGTTTAATAAGTTAGTAAATTGAATACAGTCTCTAAATCTCTGGTTTCCTTATGCCACCTCTTGGAAGTTTAAGGAATGACACTACGTATTTACTGAAAAGTACTGGATCCAAATGGTACTTTGGCTGATTTTATCACTGTGTGCTGAGGAATAACTTTTAATTTTTCTTCCTTTAAGGCCAATATGTTGCTCTGAGTTTTGTTATTTGTTGAATTTTTAATCCTAGGACAATGTATTCTTTCTCATTCCTGTAGAATTGCTATGATCATACCATAGCTCCAGAACAGAGAGTAACTTTTAAAACATTTTATTGAGATTTAGAACCTCAAATTTTACTTTGTACTAAAATAAAACCGCTCTTGACCCCTACATTTCTTTTTATCTGCCACCTAATCCCTCTCCTCTCTATTATAGCCACAATTTTGAAAGAAGAATCCATAATTACTTTTTTACCTTATTTTCCATTCACTTTTTTAACCCACTACACTCCAGCTTCTGCATCTTCCAGTCCCCTCCAGAGGAGAGAATATTTAAATATTTATTTCATTGCAAAATTATGGAAAGCTGAAATGACATGGAGCCCTCACTGAGTTGAAAGCCGGTGCTAATAGCAGATGATTCTGGAGAAGTGTGTGAGGGCTCAGTTGTGGAGGTATTATATTCTGCTCCTAGGAACTGAGGCTTTCACCGGTTTGGGCAAAGATAGCCATTAAAGAGTGAGCAGAGTGCACCACCCTCCACTTCTGGTAACTCAAATTATATTCTCTTTGGATGGTGATTTCAGCAGTTATGAACCTGGAAATCCAGTTAGGAAGCTATCTTAGGCTTTGTGAGAGCGGATGGCAATTGGCAGACTCTATAATTGCGCGAGACTACATATATAAATGGCTTGTGAAATAATAAACAATTATTAAAAATAGGCATTTTTATGCTTTGGAAATGATTTTATAGTGTGATTAGCATAGCAGATATTACATTTAAACTCTTTTCCTTCCTGAGGTCTAAATTAACTTATTCTATATTTTTGTCATGGGAGATTAGCTCTTTGACATAACTGATGCCACTGGCATTATCTCACATAACAGCATTTGTGATACCAAGTGTGGTGCTACTTTTATTCACTGAACATAGATTATATTTACTAAAGAACTTATAACAGTATCAATATAGTTATAGCTTCTTGTTCATTGTGCGATGTTGCAGTTAAATCTGATAATCTGTTAAACACCACAGTGTTTTTGGAATGTCATCATTTATGTTCACTTTTGTAATTCACTTTATTTGAATCTATGGACTTCAATGTCAGATGTGGTTCTCCAAAGCTGAAAGGATTGTCAGTTACAATGTAAGGTTTTCTACTGACACTTCCTGACAAATCTGAGTGAGAGCAGTCGGCCACCTCTGAGTACTCAGTCCTCCCACCCGCAAGAGTGCCCTTTCTCCTCTCAGGGAAGATAGATAATGGTTGGCCAGATACTTCAATCTGTATTGACCTTGTCTTCCACATTTCTGTCTTTATTCCCAACTATTTCCCTTTATGAAAGCTTTGTTCTTCCCACTTTATTTTATCATCATTGCAAATTTTATTAACTAGAAACTGGAGTCATTTTGCTTTTAATAAGGCTCTTTTGTTAAATAAAAATCTAAGCCTGACTTAGTTTTCTTTCTTTAAAAATCTTATTGAAAGTCTTTCAACGCTTAAGTCTGTTGATAGAATAAAACAAATTTCACATATCTACCATATTTGCCAGCACAGAACAAAAAATGGTAAGCTGACAGAGAAATAATGCATAGTTGCTTAGTCAAATGTGTTCATTTTAATGTGTATGCACCAACATCGTGTTTGCGTGTTAGGGGTCCATATTAATGTTTGAACTTTTCTACTTAGCTATGTTTTGCAATTATTTTAGAACCTCAGAATATCGAAGATGAAGCAAAAGAACAAATTCAGTCCCTTCTCCATGAAATGGTACATGCAGAACATGGTATGAATTAAAATCTGCTCTTTGTTTTGAGTTACTAAAATAACACTTAGTTATGTAAAATGACTTGGACATTTGTTTTAAAATGTAAAGGCTAATTGGGTGTTTGCGTTTTTTAAAAAGTTTTTGAATTCAAAGTTAGAGAACAGGTGTTGTTTTTGAAATAGCACCAAACTTGCTTTATTCCACTTCACTGTGGAGGAACTCATTGCATACATCTAAGAGAGAACTGGTGGGAATAAATGAGAATGAACAGATTGAAAACAGTGATCCATCAGGAACAGAAGGGGAGGGCGGAGAGGAGGAAAGTGGGACACAGGCCCACGGTCAGGCTTATCCAGGTGTTGTCCTCCACCTCGATTTCGCTTTATGGTTGGCTGGTCACCACAACAAAAACGAAGACACATTTAATTGCATAGGTTGCACTAAGCAGACAGGAAAAAAAAACTTGAGAATATAAAACATTTTCCCAGTACTTAAATTTTAAAATTTCTCATGGCGAGCTCTGTGTAGAGGATTCTAAGTAATAATCCAGAAACTAATGTTTTAAGGTTTTATAAGGCTGCTTCTTGAAGCATCCCTTGATAAAAACAGAGATCGTGATCCCAAAACGTA